GGACCTCATCCCTCCAGTGCAGACAGCTTCTTCCCTCTTTTCTGTTTTCTGGAGACAGGCCAGGGCTCCGACTCCCCCATTCTCCTCCTGGGCCCACTCTCCAGCCTCCCCGTGTCCATCTCAGCCCCCAGATCTAAGTCTCCAACTGAGAAAACTGAAGTGGAGGTAGCCCGGAGGGGAGCTCACGGTGTCAGAAAGGTTCCACGGGGGGAGGATGGCTCAGCCCGGCCCCCATCCCCCCCGGCCAGCAGGAACATTTTGTCCCCTTGCTTGCAGTGGCTCACTCACCCGTCCACCCGGAACCTATCCTGGCTCTGTGTCCAGCACACAGAGTCAATGTTTACTGAATCGAGGGAGTGTATCATAGACAGGCTCTGAGTATGAAAGGCTGTGGGGCAGGGGTCTGGCTCAGCTGGTCAGGGGTGCTGGCTTTGTCCTCCTACCCTCTGGACTTTGCTTCCAGAAAACACTATGGGTCTCAGTCACATGTGGATACACCTCTTGGTGCCACTCCCATCTGTGGACAGAGACTGGGGACAGGGAGCCTGCAGGGCCCAGACTCTGGATTCCCATCCCCTCCCAGAAGCTCCCTGCTCAGGCTGGGCTCAGTTAGATAAGAGATTAGCCCTGGCTGGGTGTGGCTGTCTGTACATCCCCCCTCTTCACTCCTGGGTTGTCACTGGATGATATTTTTTGGAAACAGATTGCCAGGCCTTTCTTCCAAGATACCTCTGGGTGGACTCAAACCTCCAGCCTTTCAATTAGCAGCAGTTATGGATTAAATTGTGTCCCCCAAAAATGTGTATCAACATGGCTAGGCCACAATTCCCAGTGTTGTGTGGTTGTCCACCATTTTGTGATCTGATGTGATTTCCCTGTGTTTGGTAAATCCTAGTCTCTGCCTGTGGTTAATGAGACAAGATTAGGTCATGTTAAAGAGGATTTGGGTGGGATGCAACACCCTTACTCAGGTCACAGCCCTGATCCAATGTAAGGGGAGTTCCCCTGCGGTGTGGCATGCATCACCTTTTATCTTTGTTGTTGTTAGGTGCTGTGGAGTTGGTTCCAGCTCACAGGGACCATGTGTACAGCAGAACGAAACACTGTCTGGTCCTGTGCCATCCTCACAATCGTTGTTATGTTTGAGCCCATTGTTGCAGCCACTATCTCAGTCCATCTTGTTAAGGATCTTCCTCTTTTTCACTGACCCTCCACTTTACCAACCATGATGTCCTTCTCCAGGGACTGGTTTCTCCTGATAATGTCCAAAGTGTGTGAGATGAAGTCTCGCCATCCTCGCTTCTAATGAGCATTCTGGCTGTGCTTCTTCCAGGACAGATTTGTTCGTTCTTCTGGCAGTCCATGGTATGTTC